TCGGTCGGCAGGGGCGTGTAAGAGTGGCGTGGGAACGATCGAAAGAAAAAAAAAAACATCATTTGGGAATAACAAAATTCTAGTGCTGATTACAAAAACAAGCGGATATGACCGATAAAAAATGAAAAGAAAGCGCGGAACTGTTTTAAAATACTTAATAGAAGAAATATTTGAACTGCTCTAAAAACTGCAAGAATCTTCTATTGATCGAAATAGTTTTTTTAATTGCAAAACATTTTACTATAATTTTAAACAATAAATGTGTGGCATTCTTGAAATAATGAAGTAAAATTCTCAACAAAATTATGAAAATATTAATTGAAAAATTGCCACAGAAATTATCAAAGCGGTAAAATGTGTATGTATACGTTAAAAAATAACAGTAAAAAATTTTACATTCTGGTTAGGATTTGATATCTCTATTTACAAATCGAGTCGATTTTGAAGGTATAATCTAAACGCGCCTTAAAAGAAGAACATACAATAGGGAGTGTCAAAGTCGTATTATCCAAGGGAAATTGCAGTAATAAGTAATTTTTGCAGAACATTTTCAATATTAGGTGTGTCTGGTTACTTTTTTAGTAACATTTAGTCATTAAGTTCTATTTCAGAGAGTATGCCGTTTTTATTCTCTTTTGGGATAATGCCGAGAAAAGTAAACAGACAAAATTTAGTAAGATTTAGCAAATAAACAACTGATTCAAGAAAACATTTTATTTGCGAACAAATAAATTACGAACACTATTATTTGTATCGCATTTAATATTAAAAATAAAATGTACAATAAAAGAAACATTGATTTGATATGTTCCCCGGGTATGTTCTGGAACTTGCCTAAAATATGAAGAATTAGTTCCTAATTTAATGAAACTTTGCATTACTTACGAATTTTCTTCGATTTTCTGTAATATTTATACACATTAACTTCAAATTGAACTTTGCAAATTAAAAAAAAAAGGTTTTGAATAATTTTTGTGTTTGGTCATAAAACAGCTGATCCAAAAATGGATGAATTTGCAAAATCTTACTGCATAAAATCCTTTCAGTAAACTCCAGTATGTTTTTTGTTGTTCACCTGTCAAACTTGCTCTCTCACTTGACTCTCTTTTACTGGATTTTTGGGTAAACATACAACATTTAGTAACAATTGTTACAATATCGAGTAAACAGGCAGAGATATTAGGTATGTTCGTTTACTCAATAATAGGTTCGTTCGTGTACTCAATAATTTGTACGAATTTGTACAAATTATTACAAAATGTTGTTCGTTTACCCAAAAGTCCTGTAAAAGAGAGTGAATTGAGAGAGCAGATTTGACAGTTGTGTTACTGAGTATTTGCAAATTCTTACAAGGAAAATTTACTCAGTAAGAATTTTCTTGTACCATTAGCTGATATTTAATTAGCCTTTTTGTTATGTTTTGTAAACAAACAAAAAATTGTTCTCAAGAAAATTGATTGTTTTGTGAATTTTATTTTGATTTTGTATCATTAAATACCAAAATGGATGAAGAAAACGTAAGTATTTAAAAAAAGGTAATACAAGTGTAATTGGCGAACCCTTTTAAATGTTTGTTTTCCGCTTGTTATCCATTTTTCTAATAAAAATTCTGTTTTTTAGTTTGCGCCAATTTGTTTGTTGTTTTAATCAGCTGTGTCGAAACAATCTTTTTACTGGATGTTGTTCGTTTACTTTTTGCAGTTTTCTATTTGAGAAGGAAAAATTCGTACTTACTCTATGCAAATTCTTACTGAGTAAATATTACTGACAAAGTAAACGAACGAACCTAATTTCTGCAAATTTTTACTGGATGTTGTTTGTTATCTAATAAAACATAGAGAATAGAGAGAGAAAATTTAACAGTTGTTTTACTGAGTACTTGTTGGGAAAATTTAGGCAATAAAGATTTTTCTATAATATCAGCTGATATTTTATCAGTTGTTTTAATAAAATTTGTAAACAAACAAAACAATTTGTTTTCAAAAAACTTGAATGTTGGAAACAATTTTTTGTACTAGGTGTTTAGAATACTAACGATTTCAAACGTCAATTCCATACGCTACATTCACGCTAATCCTTTTCATAAATCCAGTGGATTATATTTGACGTATACGCTATGGGATTGTCATTTGAGATCGCACGTTTTATATCATTAAACATTAAAAATGGAAAAAAGGCCAGTACCAATAAAAATAAATAATATAAATAAGATTATATCCAGCTTTTCATGGTTCCATTAAAAATTCTAATAAAAATTAGGCATTTATACCGTACCAAACTTTTTGTTGTTGTAATAAGCTGTATCGATACAACATTTTTACTGGATGCTGTTTGTTTACTTTTTGGAATTGTCTCCATTTTTCCTTTTTACTCCAAGTATGAGTGAATGTGACTGGAAAAGTAAAGGAACATACCTATTGTATGTGTGAACATGTATCAGCTGACGTTCATTTAAATTATCTTAAAACGTGTGTAAATAACCTTAATAATTAACCATAAATCTACATAATTTAAAGGGTATATATCAATGTACTATTAACATCCTCTATGATGACTTTTTTGACATATATGCAATAGATTTGACAATTTTGATCTATCCAATTTACAAAATCCAGTGCAATGTAAGTATACTACAGATCGATTGATTATTTGTCTGTTTACATAGTTGGGAAAATTTTCATAAAATTTACAAAATGTAAATGGAAAACAATTTAGATTAATGGCGGATTCTTGAAAGTTTTGGAACAGAGTAAATATAAGTTCCGTTCCAGAACCTAAAAGAATCTACTAATTTTACAAGTTTTGCAACTTTTGCATGAAAATCGTTCCTGAACCCACAAAACTGAACCAAATTTAAGAGAACACAAAAAAAATTGCGTTCTCCTTATAAACTTTTTACTCGAAAAATTTGTCCGAGTAAAAATGGTAAACAGCCAATGCCAATTTCTGATTGGCCGTTATGTTGATTTTGAAGTATTGCCATCTAATTTTGACATATTTACTAAATATGCGTTTCCGACTTTTCAAATTATTTTGTTCTCTGAGAGCGATTTTGAAATTTTTCCCTTTTACTAGTTTTACTATTAAAAAAGTACTGGAACAAACCAAAAGTTAAACTGGTAAAAAATCTAATATAAATGTCAGCACTTTTTACTGAAAAAGTTATCTTAGTCCTGATTTATATTTGACAACCTTAGTTGCCTCAATTCTATAGTTTGTATGTGAGAGAATGGAGGTGAATGGAAACCACTCTCGTCCACAAACTGACAATTCGAAGTAAAATTGCCTAATAGTACGTTTACATTTAACCGGATTTCGTTGACCCAGTGGGTTTGAAATTTCAATTCCTTTGAATATATGTCAAATAAATCCTCATAAAGTAGGTCAACCCGGTAAAAAGTTCTAATGTATATGCCGTTTGAAACGGCATTTACATTAGAACTTTTTGCACCCTTAACCTACTTTATGGGTTAACTAAATCCGGTACAATGTAAACTTACTATAAAGTAATTTTGGTATTATTTTCCTTATTCAAAAAATTGTCTATTTTCTTTCTTACAGAATCCGCAAAACATCCGGTGAAATTCTAGTCAATGGCGAACCACAAAATATGAAACAATTTCGCAAAGTATCACGCTATGTCCTACAAGATGATCACATTAGTCCCTACTTCAGTCTCATGGAGACAATGATGTTTGCCAGCGAACTGAAATTGGATACGAAATTTACAATGGAACAACGGCAAAAAGTTATCTATGAAATTTTAGATATTTTACATTTGCGATCACAGGTCAATACGATGATTGCAAATTTATCGGGTGGACAGCGGAAACGTTTGTGTATTGCCTTGGAGCTAATTGATAATCCGTCAGTATTATTTTTAGATGAACCAACGACGTAAGTATTTCGAAATTATTATATAAATGCAGATTTTGTAAAAAAAACTATTTTTCAGTGGCCTAGATGAATTCTCCGCCTCGCAATGTATACGACTTTTGAAGAAGTTGGCCAAATGTGGCCGAACCATAATTTGTTCGCTGCATTGTCCCTCGGCCACACTGTTTCAGATGTTCGACAAAGTCTATGCCATGTCGGGTGGTCAGTGTATATATCAGGGTGCGGTTAACGATATTGTGCCATATTTACAGCAGTTCGATTTAAATTGTCCCCAGACATATAATCCCACAGATTTTAGTGAGTATGATTTAAATAGGATTTCGAAAATTATTTCAAATTTTTAATAATTTTTACTTTTTATCTTCCTAGTTATCGAAGTGGCAACAAAAATCTATGGTGATTACAACAAAGAATTGGTGGCAACAATTGAAAATGGCAAAATTGCCAAATGGATACCCACGTCCCCCAATAAGTTAGACAATTTTGAAATGTTGCATTCCAAATCATTGGAATCCAAACCCTATTTGGATAATTTAAGCGAAGAGGCAAAGAAAAATACGGCGACTCCTTTCCGCAATTCATGGTGGTGTGAATTTAAAATTTTATTTTTCCATATTTTAAATCAAATGTGGCGTGATAAGGTAGAGTACATTGAAAAAATATTCTAAATAATAAAAAAAATCTAATATTATGTTGCATTTCTTTGCAGTCAAATTGTAAAATGAGAATTGTTATACATATCCTGTCATCGCTTCTAATTGGTTTCACTTATACGAAGGTCACAAGCAATGCTAGCGTTAGCATTTTTACCTATCATCTGTCGATGATAATTATTATTAAATACTTTTTCTTGCCGATGACACCGCTGCTGGCATGTGGTGAGTAAATTTAATTAAAATTTATACGAGTTCAGAAGTAACCAAGGCGGTGGAATCCACCCTGCATTCGGAAAACGTTTCCGCAATACAGTGGTCCTCTATATCTGTATATCATATCTGTTTCATTTCATGTTGTAATTGTAAAAATTAGATAATAATAATGCCTTTGGTTCTCCTGAATTATCGCGACTGAACTATGTATTTTCAATATCCCTCATCCCATTAATATATATTTTAAATTTTTTATTTTTTTTAATTTTCAGTGCCACGTGATATGATGTATTTGCGGCGAGAATACTTTAATCAATGGTATCGTTTAAGTTCATACTTTATGGCCCTGATATGTGCCCAACTGCCTATGCTGAGTTCGATGGCAGTGCTTGGTTCAGCAATAATCTATGTCTCAAGTGGTCAACCGATGGAATTATATCGTTTTATGTTCTTTGTTGGCATTTCATTTTTAATATCCTTGATGGCATCGAGTTTTGGTTTGCTATTTGGTTCCAGATTTAATGTGGTGGTAAGTAGATATCGAACAAGATCTATTAATACCGGAAAACAGCTGTTTTTTCTCAAGTGTCAAAAACTTTGACAATGAATGAAGTTATCAGCTGCGCTAAATGGACTACCTATTTATTGTTCCATGCCCTGATCTAGAACAAGGATGGAACAAGGTTATCCATGGAGACCAGCTGCATCTCCAGATTGCTGTGAAAATCCATTATTGTGAATTGACTTCCATTATAAAAAGATAAACAAAGTTCAATTTTTTTGGCATTAGACTTAGAGAAAAACAGCAGACTTTCGCTTTTTGGGTGAACTTATTGATAGATCTTGATCTAGAAGAAAATTCAACAAATATATATATATATATATATATATAAATATATATATATATATATTATAACTCATTATCCCCCATTCTTTCCAGCACGCTCTCTATTTGGCCCCCTATGTCATGGTACTGATGGTTGTAATAGCATCCTATACTGCCGAACGTAATGATCTCTCGATATGGGAACAACTAATGGTCTATAGTAGTTTCCTCAAATATGCCTTGGATGGTTATCTATATGCGCTGTTAGATTTTAATCGTAAGGATTTCCCTTGCCCGCCGTCCGAATTGTTTTGCATAACCTCAAAACCTAAATATATTCTTAAATTAGCCGGTAGTTTAAGACCAAGTTATATATTCTCCGTTCTAGGTATGTTTGGTTTCTATGTTCTATTCACCTTCCTATCGTATATGATATTTAAACAACGTTTAGCAAATCATAGAAATTCTAAAGGTAAATTGGCGAAAATTTTTAGGAAAATATTTAATTTTAGATTAGTTAAAATGTAAGTAAATATATTTTTTATAATTGTTAATTTGTAAGTAATAATAAAATACATTTTTTGTAGAAAATAAAAAATAATGTTTTTTTTTTTATTAATTTTCCAAAATTATACTTCTACCTCTTTATGAGAAAGCTTTCATATTGTTATGTTCTTGGGTTTTACTAAATCCCGTGTAGACGTTGTTTTATTTCTCGATACAATTCGTACCAAATAAAACGCAGGTTCTTTCGGATTACGATTATTACAATGATTTTATTCACACAACTTTACCTTGCACTTTACTTTACACGACGGTTTCAATTCGCGATCTGATTCACAACTGACTCACTGCCTTTCCATTCCCTCTATTTATATGAGCCCTGCCTGTCGCTACAGAAGTTTCTAGACGATCTGGTAACACCTAGATCACGAACAATCTACCAATACAACAAACACATTGAGTAACAATAACAACAACAAACTTACTGAGTGAACAATAACAACAAACTTGAGTAAACAAACTTACAATAACAACAACACATATACAGGCGAGAGAGTAACAAAGAAAGATGAATTAAGCGATCATCAATGATGACGTTTAATAAGAATTATACGACAATAACAAAATAGAAAATGAAAGAGGAAATGGAAGGATGTAGAAAAATCTATACAGTAGTTGTTGTTGTGAAGTTATTCAAATAAAATGCGTAGTAGAAATCTACGTTACAATTCAAATTCTTAAATTAACGGAATTAATCTAAATTAACTTAAATCTAAAGTTATATTCGTAACATTGCCCCCCGCTTAAGCCTGTTCGTCCCGAATAGGCACAGTTCCCGTTCCGTAGGGGGTCAGCCGCTCCAAATGTACAACTTTCATCTTCGACCTGGGACTGTCGCTCCTCTGGATGCGATAAACGACGTCATTTATTTTCGTGACAATCTTGTAGGGTCCTTCCCAGTGCGTTTGCAATTTGGGGCATAGTCCTTTCTTTCGTTGTGGGTTGAACAATAGTACCAGTTGCCCTTCTTGAAACCCATCGGTATTTGCCGCTCGATCGTACCTTGCCTTCATGCGGTTGCTAACCATTTTTATTCGATGTCGGACTGCATCGTGGACTTTACTAAAAGAGTTTTGACTGTCTTCATCTTGGTTCACATCGTCGTTTGGGGTAGCACCGAATATCAAATCGCCAGGTAGCTTTAATTAATTTCCGAACAGAACTTTGGCTGGGGTCCGGGATGTGGAATCATGAATGGCCGATCTATAAGCCAGTAAAAACTTTGGAATATGCTCATCCCAGTCTCGTTGGCCACTGTCCACCACTTTCCGTAGATGTTCTTCCAGGGTGCGATTGAATCTCTCCACCATGCCATCTGATTGTGGATGTAGGGGCGTCGTTCTGGTTTTCTTGATTCCGTAGGAGTCACACATTTCCTTGAAGATCGCTGATTCAAAATTCCTACCTTGATCGGAATGAACCTCGGATGGAACACCATAGCGACAAATCCAATTTTTGCTGAACACATCCACAATTGTCCTGGCTTCTTGATTTGGGATAGCATAAACCTCTGGCCATTTACTGAAGTAATCCATGACCACTAAGACATACCGGTTCCCAGAGTCGCTTGTTGGGAACGGTCCAGCTACATCCATTGCGATTCTTTCAAAAGGGGCTCCTGAATTATACTGCTGCATGTAGCCTCGACTCTTCCGTGTTGGACCTTTAGCTCTTATGCACCTTTCACAATTGGCGATCCAGTCGGCAATGGATTTTTGACAGCCGACCCAGTAAAATCTCTGCTTTACCCTTTCAGCCGTCTTTGCTATGCCAAGATGTCCTCCACTTGGCCCATCGTGAAACTCCGACAAGACATCTCTTATTTTGGAGTCTGGGACGACGATCAAGTTCCGGTGAGATTTACCGTCCTCACTTTCCCATTTGCGATATAGGCAACCATCTTTTATAAGTAGACTGTCCACTGGGCCCAATACGATTTTAAAAGAGGGCTTTCGGAGGTAATTTCTTTGCGACTAGGTCGCTTGCCCGTTTCTATGGCCGAAATTATTTTGTACAGAATGGGATCCCCTCGTTGTTCCGTCGACCAATCTTCACCCGACTCAAACTGCAATAGTCGGACATCAACGATATTCTCCATACACTCAGCCTTTGAACAATGCCTGCATTCTACCTTGCATGGCCGACGAGACAGGGCATCAGCATTACCGTGTTTTCCGCCTTTTCTGTGCTCGATTTTGAAGTCATAACTCTGGAGCCTCTCGATCCAACGGGCTAGTTGACCTTCCGGATTCTTAAACTGCAGCAACCATTGGAGAGCAGCGTGGTCGGTCCTCAGCAGGAAATGTTGGCCATATAGGTATTTGTGGAAGTGTTTAACGCTCTCAAGGACAGCAAGCAGCTCTCTCCTCGTCACACAGTAATTCCTCTCAGGTTTCGACAATGTCCGGCTGTAGTACCCGATGACTTTTTCCTGTCCGTCGATTTCCTGGGAAAGGACGCCACCGATGCCGCACGCACTTGCGTCTGTATCCAGAGCAAACTTGCCGCCAGGTATAGGGTATGCCAAAATGGGGGCTCTGCATAGCATGTCTTTGAGTTTACTGAATGCGTCTTCTTGGGCGTTGCCCCACTGAAACCTCTGGCCTTTTTGCGTTAAGCGGTGTAGACAGGCGGCGATGTTGGCAAAATTTGGGACAAATCGACGGTAGTAGGTGCAGAGACCCAGAAAGCTTCGCAGCTCATGGAGATTTCGGGGCTGCGGCCAATCTCTGACGGCTTGAATTTTCTCCTGATCCGTCGATATGCCCTCCGGCGTCACGTGGTGCCCCAGGAACTTCACCTCTCGTTGGAAGAGACTGCACTTCTTTGGGTTTAACTTGAGGCCTGAAGACGAAAGCTGCTGTAGAACATCCCTTAAGTTCTTGATGTGTTCGTCGAAGTTGCGTCCCATGACTATGATGTCATCCAGGTATATGAGGCACGACTTCCACTGCAGCCCTTTTAACACGCGCTCCATCAGCCTTTCAAATGTAGCCGGGGCGTTGCAGAGTCCGAATGGCATGACATTGAACTGCCAGAGACCCCCATTAACGCCAAACGCTGTTTTTTCTTTATCTTTCTCGGCGATCTCTACTTGCCAGTACCCACTCTGAAGGTCGAGGGTGGAGAACCATGACGTCCCGGCTAATGTGTCCAATGTGTCGTCGATCCTTGGGAGCGGATAGCTGTCTTTCTTGGTGACATCATTTAACTTTCGGTAGTCCACACAAAATCGGGTGCTTCCGTCTTTCTTCTTGACCAAGACCACTGGGGAGCACCATGGACTTTACGATGGTTCTATTACACCACTCTTTTCCATTTCACTTATCAGCTTCTGAACCTCGTCTCTTTTTGCCAGGGGAACACTTCTTGGAGGCTGTTTAATGGGTCTCGCGTCTGCTGTATTGATTTCATGCTTCACCACTGATGTTCTTCCTTGGTGCTCTTTTGTCAACGCAAAGGTAGAGGCATATTTCCATAATAGCTGCTTAGCCTTGTTCCTCTCGGAAGGTGATAATTGGTGTGTCCACTCTTTTATGTAGCCGTCGAGGTGCTTCTTCTCCATGGCTGCTGGCTTTTCGGTGCTAGTTTCCAAATTAATTACAGCTTCAGCTGGTGTGCATTGTCCAACATCGGAAAATTGGCAAATTTGCTCTTGCTTGTTTGACAGGTTCAAAACTCTAACAGGAATTAATCCGTCCTTGTTGCTTTTCACCAGGGCATTCGCTACTAGGATGTTACTGTTTCTGTTTTCTGCTGGTTCCACCACCCACAACTTCTCGGCTCCACAATCTCCATTCATTGGTACCCATATTATTGCTTCGGCACAGGGCGGTATTATCTCTGGATGGTCCGTAGTCAGACGTCTAATGGGTGTACTTTCATCGTAGCCCACGTTTAACGGAATTTCGACGTTAGACCAGGTCATTACACGCTCTTTCATATCCAGATTGATGCCGAAGGCAATCATAAAATCTGCGCCTATTATCACTTCGTCTACGATATCGGCAACTATAAACTCGTAATTCACCGATTTATTGGCAATAGTTAGTCTCAGGGTAATCTTGCCGTGTACTGCCGCGGGCTCCCCCGTTGCTGTGCGCAGTCTGACTCCATTAAGTTGCGTTATTTTTCCCTTCACCAGATCTGATCTTATGATGGACTTTGATGCGCCAGTATCTAACGTCAGAACTCGCTTGTCACCATTGATGTACCCAGTTGTTGTTAGGTTGTGACTTTTCTGTTGTACTATTGCTATGGAGATTGTGGGGCCATGTTGAGCCATTCTTCTACCATCTTTCGTTGGAGGTGGTGACGATGACCTGGATCGTTTGCGCTTAGCTCTGCATTCGCGCGCAATATGACCTGTTTTATCGCAGTTGTAGCATCTAACCCTGGGCTTAGTCATTCCAACTAACTTTGTTTCTTCTATTACCCGCCTCATGGCGTCTTCGATCGAGTTAACGATAGATTTGGAATCGCAACCTTCGGTCTCCAGTTGGCGAATCTTGTGGGTCTGGGGCTTAACAATTATTCTTGCCGTCTCTTGGGCAAGGGCAAACGACACCGTTTCGGCAAATGACGCTTTTGGTGACGCATATGTTGCACATTTAATCTCAGGGTCACGTATGCCATTCACAAAGGTTTCGATTTTCATACGGTCCACCAATGGGTGATTCTCTCCTGGATACGCCATTAGCACCAAACGTTCCACCTCAGCTGCAAAGTCTTGTAACGTCTCGTTTGCCCTCTGCACTCTTCCCCTTAATTCCATAAGGTAGATGTTTTGTTTATGTTCGCCACCGTACTTACGTTCCAGTGCAGCAATAACATCTTCATAGTTGTTCCTAGAAGCGACAGGAATACTCTGTATAACATCAGCAGCACTGCCCTTCAATGCCAGCAGTAGTGCAACCGCTTTGTCGCTGTCGTTCCACGAATTTCTAGAAGCCACTGTCTCGAACTGCAACTTGAAAACATTGAATGACGTAGAGCCGTCAAATACAGGAGGTTTGATTTTTAGTGTGTTATCAAGAACTCGCACCGGACCACCCTTAATTTCCAGTTCCGACATTTTCTTCTCCAGATTCGTAAACCTGTGGTCGTGGGCCAGAAATTTCTCGTCAACCGACTGCACTTTCTTATCCAACACTTTAATTTGGACCTCCACGGTTTCCACTCTCCTTCCAATAACTTCTGTAATGTACTCGAGTTTCTCGTTCATTATTCTCGAATTTTCTTCGAACATTCGTCTCGAGTTTTCTTCTGACTTTCTGGAATTCTCTTCGAACATTCGTCTCGTGTTTCTGGAATTCTCTTCGAACATTTTAGCCAGCATTTCTCTGAAATCGTCACCCCTGGCAGCTACTGACGAGTCTTCCCCACCGTTGGATTCGCCCATTTCCGATAAATCCACTTCATCCTTACTGTCAAACTCATATGTATCAATGTTCATACCACGGCGCTCGAACTCATCCAACAGACGTTTTTGTAGTTCAGCCTTGTTGCCAGTAGAGGACAATTCCAATTTATTCAGCTCCTTCTTCAAGTCTTCCACTCGTAGATCCTTAAACTTCATCGTAGTATTATCGTAATCTCACTTCCGACACCAATTGTTACGTTCTTGGATTTTACTAAATACCGTGTAGACGTTGTTTTATTTCCCGATACCATTCGTACCAAATAAAACGCGGGTTCTTTCTGATTACGATTATTATAATGATTTTATTCACACAACTTTACTTTGCACTTTACTTTACTCGACGGTTTCAATTCGCGATCTGATTCACAACTGACTCACTGCCTTTCCATTCCCTCTATTTATATGAGCCCTGCCTGTCGCTACAGAAGTTTCTAGACGATCTGGTAACACCTAGATCACGAACAATCTACCAATGCAACAAACACATTGAGTAACAATAACAACAACAAACTTACTGAGTGAACAATAACAACAACAAACTTGAGTAAACAAACTTACAATAACAACAACACATATACAGGCGAGGGAATAGAAAATGAAAGAGGAAATGGAAGGATGTAGAAAAATCTATACAGTGGTTGTTGTTGTGAAGTTATTCAAATAAACTGCGTAGTAGAAATTTACGTTACAATTTAAATTCTTAAATTAACGGAATTCATCTAAATTAACTTAAACCTAAAGTTATATTCGTAACAATATTATGCGTATTTTTTATATCGGAAATTTGACATAAATTAAATGGTAAATAGTTTCTGAAATATATTTTTCACGAATTCGTTAATTTTTACCAAACCTAAATTGATGCAATTCTGATACGGCAAAACAACGTTTGCCGGGTCTGCTAGTATATATATATATAGGTACTTTCTGAGTAGCTTTATGCATGTTCGTCCGTCTGTTGATGTTATATTGTAGACAAATATGGTACATCTCTTTTATTTGGCCTAAGGATGAACCCTATTGAAATTGATGAAAATCGGTTAAAATTTAAATATAGCTCCCATATATATTTTCATCCGATTTCATGTAATTGCTGCACGACATTTCGCATAGGGTACTGACTTGAGTCTGAAATGACGTGTTTTGTAAAAATCGTTTTATATTTAGATATAGCTTCCGTATATAATTTCGTCCGATTTTAAGTAAATTGTGCAAAAAAGACCCTATGTATCTTTCGAATTGCACGAAATTTGGCATAGCGTAATGAATTGAGTCTAGAATGATGTTTTTTTAAGTTTCGTAAAAATCGGATCAGATTTATATGTAGCTCCCAGATATATTTTCGTCCGATTTCATGTAATTGGTGCACAAAAGACTCTAAATACCTATCGATTTGCATGAAATTTAGCATAGAGTAGTAAATTGAGTCTAGAATGATGTTTGTTAAGTATCATTGAAATCGGTTCAGATTTGGATATACCTCCAAAATATAGTTTCGTCCGATTTCATGTAAATGGTGCACAAAATCCTTTATATTTCTTTCGATATGCACGACATTCTGCATAGCGTAATGAATGATGTTGGTTAAGTTTCGTTGAAATCGATTTAGATATAGGACCCATTTATATATTTTCGTCCGATTTTAGATGAATGGTGCACTCGTAATGTTTGGCAGATTGACACGATATTTTACACAACGTATTAAATTGAAACTAGAATAAAGTTATAGCGTTTAGTTGAATTTGGTGCAGATGTAGACATAGCTTCCGTATATATTTTCGACCGACTTCATTGTTAATTGTGTAACAAATAATAAACGGGTGTCTGATTGAGATTAAATTTTGAATAGTGCGGCATACCAAATATCGTGTACCAAGTTAGCTTTAATTCGATTTACATTCATTTCTCCCATTGTACGCAAACGACTCTAAATCTGCCCGAATGAAATGAAATTTATGCAAGTGTGTGGATTGATGTTAGTCATTTCACATATATATAAAGATCAAATATTTAAGTTCCTTCACTTACATGTCAATGTTCCTTCGAAAAGACGACGTCTGCTAGGATACATATGTAGAATAAATCCAACGTGGTAAAGGGTGTCATAAAAACGGTCCAGTCCGACTTTACTATTTGCTTCACTGCACCACAATTTGGTTTCGGATATTAAATCCTTTTTTCAAGCACGTGCCCCAAGATTAATTTAAATTTATTATATAATTACATACATAAGTCATCTTAGTCATTCATGGAAATTGGCATTTTGTGGCCAACCAGCAACAACCAGTAGACAAAGATTTTTTTATAGAAATTTCTCATTTACTTCAATCGCCACTTCTATTTAACTTCACCACTTTAATTTCAATTCCACCCCCTCAACTATTGTTCAAACACTTTTCGTGGTTTGTCATTGTGGATATCCACAGAAAGATACAACTTACCGCCACAGTTATTAGTATCGTAGTAGACGGCAGACGTCGTATTCGTATTCGTCTTCATCATCATTGTCATCATCACTGGCATTATTATCACCTTATGCCTGTGTGGCTGCTTAATTTCGAAAACAGCAGATAATGGAACTTGAGTATATACATTTGTCCTTTTTGTGGGTGGCAACCTCTCAATATAATTTTGAGTTGTTGTGGTTGTGAGGTGGTATGGTGTCAGGGTTTCCAGCATAGATGTTTTTAAAAATAAATTTGCTGGAAATATGTTGTTTTCCATAGTATGGGCAATTACTTGAAATTTATCAGATGTTGTCTAATAATAATGGAAACTCAATTATTGTCGAAGGAAAAATTATTTCCCTCGATGGCAACCCTGGCTACGATAACTTTCATTCATTCATTTTGTTCGCCCTCCCAAAATGACTTTTAAGTGCAAAAATACAATCATTATATAGACAAAGTTGCCTTAATTTATTTTGCGTGACTTGAATATTCTTTTCACTTCATATTGAGACAGGGGCTGTCTTTCGTAACTATTGGAATGTTAATGACTTTCTTTGCACATTTCACCACAACGACTTGTAAAAGAAATTTTTAAAATTCCCAGTGAGAAATTGAATTTTCTTCGAAACAGCAAAAACCTAAATAACACTTTTCATTAATATCTAATATATTAAGCTATATGCATTTATTAATTTCATATATTATTTATGAAATGCTATTTTTCTAATTTAAAATAAAAATGTTGATATAAAATCCAAATTTGTTAATTATACCCGACTTACAACCACTGTGTTAACAGGAACTTAAATTATGTTTCCATTCTTTTTTTTCTGATTCTCCTAGTGAGTTAGCAATTCTTAAAAAATATTTAGAGCAGAAACCGTTTTGTTGGTTGTGTGTATTGCATAAAAAGGAATAAAAGAAACCCATGGAAAAAAACATATGTTGAAATTCTTTAATGCCATGGCATTTAATAAAAAAAGTAAAAACTAACTAAATTTAGTTGGCGCCCCCCGCTTCCCAAGATAAATGATTCAGTGGTGGATTAAAAAAAAGCAGAATGCGAGAAGAATGGAATATTAAAAAATACAAAAAAAAAAAAAAAGAAAAATGCCATTAGCATTGTTATTTGAAGGATTAATTTACATATATCGTATATCAATGAATGAATAACTTGTACTAATGAAATAGCTACAAATGAAATAAAAAACCTGACGAAAGAAATAAATATTATATATTTTTTTGTTTTTTTTACTCAACTAATAACCACAAACCCATGAGTTGAATAGGTTGTGTGTGCTCGTTGGATATTATAAAAACACAATAGCCAATATTATTATAACAACAATCGACTAAAAAAATAAATTGTACAATATAAAGGGTTAACCATTTCGTGGTTTTAATAGCAAACGTAAATAAAACACATATAAAATATTTGTTTATGTCATATTTTTTTCCTTGACCTCCACTCCAACTGTTGCAAGCATTGATTCTTAAGTTTCGACCACTTCTGATATACAATAAACATATGTCTGGCAATCTAATTCATTAGGCATAAATTCATACGCATTTTATGATAAAGTGAAATCGATTTACTCCCACAACCCTTTGGACCCAGCAAGTGAAGTGAAATATAATCATAACAGTTGATGATACCATCATCGTTACAATCAGCTCGGTAGCGTTGCATATAATTAATTACAGTTTGACGGGAACATACGTCATCATTGACACATTGCAGATAATCTGAAAAATACAACAAGATATATAATAAAAAATGACATTATTTTAAGTATTTTCAATAGCTATGAAATACGGTGGAATCTTTGAAATCAACTCTAAATTGACTACGCGTCTTTTGCGCATCTCCACCAATCTGAAAGTCCACGTTCCGAGATGTTGTCTTCTACTTGGTCTTTTCATCTAATTTGTGGTCTTCCCTTTTCTACGTGAACCATCAGTAGGTTTGCTTTTATATGCTATTTGAGCTGGGGCATTCTAATTCATTCGCACAACATGGCTAAGACACCGTAGTCGCTACAGCTCAATACGACTGACTGACTATGTCAATGTTCGCGTATAGGTTGTAAATCACGTGGTTCACTCGACGCCGATATTCTCCGTCGACCCAGATCAGCCCGTAGATCTTTTGGATAATTTTTCTCTTAAACGCCCCAAGAGCTGCCTCAACTGCTTGCGCAAGTACCCATGCTTCAGATCAATACAACAGCACGGGTAGTATCAGCGTCTTGTACAGTATGAGTTTGGACTGACATGAGGTGGCTTTGTACTTGGTGGCTAAAATACTTGCTTAGACCATAGTAGTATCTGTTGGCCAACACTATAATTCCCTGAATTTAAAAACTGATGTCATTAGTTTTATTTATGGCGGTACCAAGGTACGTCTTATGCGTTGATACCATCAGCTTGGCATAATGTCAAAAAAAAAAAAATCACTGCCATGCACTTTGTCGTGATTGTTTTTGCACAATTCTGTGCCTTTTTGACGAATTACAAAACTTTAAGATATTATTCCGATGACCTTGTGTATATTATACCCAACACAACTACCTCCAAACCCTTATTTTTTGCAGATCTATATTCCAAGCCTGGACGATATTTCGCGATATTAGCACAATCTTTCTTGGCATGGAATTTTTTTCCGAAAAAGTCTCTAAATATTGGCCGATCATTATACCCTTCACCACTCTGTGGTATAGGGTATTATGTCTTTGTGCATATGGTTGTAACAGGCAAAACGAATCGAGATAGACCCATGTTTCCTTTTGAGAATATGCATGGAGTCACTTTCTGATTCGATGTATGCATGCCCGTCTGTCCGTTCGTCCGTCCATGTATTTTTGTGAGCAAAGTACAGGTCGCATTTATGATCCGATTTGGATGAAATTTGGCACAGGTCATTTATTTAGCCCAAGGACGAACCCTATTGGGAAAAATCGGTTCAGATTTAGATATAGCTCCCATATATAGTTTCGTCCGATCTTTGGTAAATGGTGCACCAAACTTCCAATATTGTTCCGATTGAAACAAAAGTATGCACAACGTGCTGAATTAAATCCTGATTGTTGTATGCGAAGTTTTGTGGAAATCGGTTCAGATTTAGATGTAGCGCCCATATATAGTTTCATCCGATTTTACGAAAATTGTGCTCCAAACTCGCAATATTTGTCCGATTGAGACAAAATTATGCACACCGTACTGAATTAGTTCCAGATTGATGTATGCGAAGTTTTGTGGAAATCGGTTGAGATTTAGATATAGCTCCCATAAATAGTTTAGTCCTATTTTACGAAAATTGTGCACCAAACTCGCAATATTTGTCCGATTGAAACAAAATTTTGCACAGCGTACTGAATTAAGTCCTGATTGTTGTATGCGAAGTTTTGTGAAAATCGGTACAGATTTAGATATAGCTGTCATATGTAGTTTCGTCCGATTTTAGGCAAATTGTGCACCACCCGAGTATATACATCAATATTATTGGTATCAATAGAAAGGACAATAATTCCTCCTGGATATACCTTAAACTTCTCCATAGAATAAAAATTTTATTGTTTTTTCAAATCTTCTCTTCATCAAAATAATTATGCTTATTCCAAGGTCGATTTGGTCCATTATATGACCTAAATATTACCCGATAATTATCAAATACTACAGGGGTTTTCTTTGGGAATAACTCTTTCCAAAAGCAATATTTTATACTCCAGAAATCCCCAAAATGTCGAATATAAACGGGGCCGATATATCCCATTTGCAATTCCATCCTAGGAGTAGTATAAAAGCTCTATATAAATATTTCTATCGGGACGGGAGGACACTGCAAAACGGCAAGAGAAAATGTGTTTCGCTACCTACGTGAATATTGGCTGAAAGAGGACACTCTCAGGCATCATTCAGGCCAAAGCAAAGCCCTGCTCCATATTGTCACCTAAAAATTTATGGCATTTTATAAAAATGTTTATTAAAGATACCAAATTTGCAAAAAAATACGTATTTTCCCAAAAGGAAAAATTCGTTCGTTTCGAGAGGATCGTCATGCCCACGTCTTCCAATATTTGTACCTAATTTTGGGTTATCTTATCTTCAATGTGTTTCCTTTCGAATCTCATATATAAATTAAAAATCGATAATGAAAAATAGTTATACTTTGGTCAGAAAAATCAATTTCTCAAGCAACGTGTTGAGGTCCGAACTATTAGGACTTCAGCCAGAGGTTTTATATGGGAGCTATGTCAAAGTAATAAAATTATTGAAATTATTTTCTACAAACAAGGTGTTTATCCACCATATATATATATATATATCTTTGGGTTCTTCGCCAAAAGTTTTGTGGTATTGGATACGGAATCGATAGATAGATCGATTTTCAAAAATCTGTAATACCAAATTTCAATAACTTCGTTTGGAAAATGTGGCTAAAAATGTATATATATATATATATATATATCTTTGGGTTCTTCGCCAAAAGTTTTGTGGTATTGGATACGGAATTATTAATTTAATATAGATCCGATCGATAGATAGATCGATTTTCAAAAATCTGTAATACCAAACTTCAATAACTTCGTTTGGAAAATGTGGCTAAAAATGGACGTTATGGTTAATTTATATATATATATATATATATATCTTTGGGTTCTTCGCCACAAGTTTTGTGGTATTGGATACGGAATTATTAATTTAATATAGATCCGATCGATAGATAGATCGATTTTCAAAAATCTGTAATACCAAATTTCAAGAACTTCGTTTGGAAAATGTGGCTAAAAATGGACGGTATGGTTAATTTATATCTTTCTATATATCCATTTTTAGTATCAAACATTAAATATTGCGAGATCTTTTGTAATTTATGCGGGAAGGCGGAAGAGCATAACTATATCGACAAGGAATTTTACTCCAATCTAAAATATACACATATACTTCAAGAACTTACTTCAGAGTCACAATGTCTTTGCACTGAGTGAGCAACAAACAAATTATATTAGTGTAGAGCTAAAATTCACGATTTGTACATTTTTAAAAATTCAGTTTTAAAACTACTAAAATCTATGTCATCTTTACCTTTAAACTCGCCTTCATTGCCGGTATAGTAATTTGACGTGCCTTGTAATACAATTTTGCCACTGTCTAACCAATAGTTGTGTGAAATTTCAAATATACCACATGTATAATTTTTCGAACATTTTATCGGCTGGCAATCGTTAATGGTTTTACACAGACAATGCAAACACTTCTCATCCATGGGTTTTATATTGCCTCCCAAAACATCTTCTGATAACTTTTCGTGGGCTACTCTTGACTCTTCGGTTATATCCGGTAGTAGTATCAGCTGTACACTTTCATTTTTAGGTTTAGTTTCTGAAATTGAAAAAAAATATATATATATTTGCAAGTTTTTTATGCATTTATTCGATTTTTACAGCATACCTGCAGTTTGTTGGTGTATAGATTCCATTTTGTGGTTTAAGGGATTTAAATATTTCTTCTGTCTCATATGTCTAAAGATCACACCGACAGCAATTAGAAGACATACCCATACAAACACTATTAAAACTTGTTTCCTTCTTTGTGGAGTTAACAACATAATCGTAAGTAATGTTCTGCTTGTCAGATATCGAAATGAATGATTTATTTGCTGTAATATGCCTATGCATATTTTTTTTAAACACAAGGTTCATGTACAATGTGGTTATGTGGTAAAAATAAATCAAACTTTAATACACTTTCATACACTGTGCAGCTATTTTACTATAACTAAAATTATTTTATCAGAATTAAATCAAATTGTAAATCAAATTTAACGGATTGAACTATTTATTAATAAATATGCCCCTTAACCTCCAACATTTTTAAATCCGACAACAACGATAATATCTACGCACACTTTTCATGATATGAACTTTATTGTCCAATTTAATTTGTGGTACAGTGTTTTGTGGTTAACTGTGTTAAAAAAAAACATATAATCGGTACATTACAAATACAAAAATTAAATTGAGGCTATATTAACACTAGAATTGTCAAGGGATAATCTCGACACCTTTGGTAGTTGGTTTGTTTCACAATGGTTGATCCATAAGCCGAGCTTAAAAAAGATTTCCAAGCGCATCGGTCTTGTGCGCGTCTCCTCCAATTTGAAAGGCCATGTTCTGAGATGTTGTCTTCTACTTGGTCTTTTCATCTAATTCGTGGCCTTCCCCTTCTGCGTGAACCATCAGTAGGCTCGATGTATATGCCTTTTGAGCTGGAGCATTCTCATTCATTCGCACAACATGATCTAACCACGGTAGTCTGTGCAGTTCAATACGACTGACTATGTCGATGTCCGTGTATAGATGTTCGGGGGGAGGGGCGGTCCCCCCGGGCCGCCCCCTGCTTACGTCCCTGAACTATTATATCGATGTCATCGGCCAAGGTGAGTAACATGTGTTGTTTGGTGTAAAGAGTGTCATTTCTGTTCACCTTTGCGTCTCGTATGGCCTTTTCTATCAGGATGTTTAAAATATCACACGACAAACTGTCACCTTGTCTGAATCCTCATTAGGTATTGAAGAGCTACTTTCCGACTTTAACTGCTGACCTTGTGCCAACTAAATTTATCCTGCATCGCCGTATTAATTTTGCAGGTATAAAAAACGCAGACATGGCTTAAAATCTGAACGGATAGGGCTGTCGAATGTGGAATGTCTCCATGTGTTTTTCGTGGGTCTTATGCTGTGGAAAATCGTTAATTTTCCATTTGAGCCTAAGTGCTGCATATGGACGAAGTTGGTATACATGGATTTGTACGATCGAGATGAACTTTGCATATCGCACCGTATGTACATCGTTTGTTCGATTTGCACGAAATTTTGCATAATATATTGAATTGGTTGTAAAATAACTTGTGTCGAGTTTGCTTTAAATCTGTTAAGACTTCGATATAACTCTCAAATATATCTTTGATCAATGTTAACTAAATGGTGAACCAAAGAATCAACGCTTCCGATTTGGTACAACATTTTGCAAAAATTCAAAAATTTCCTATTGGGGATGAATGGCATTGTTGAGCATATGAAATCCAAACAAATCTTAGGTCAAACTTTGAATATTTTTTGCTGTTGACCCTATTATACTTGAAGTGTAGATAGAGATCTTCCTTGTATGTATTTTTTGAGATGTTATTTCATCTGTAGAATGAATGAGGATGTTTATACCCTACACAACTACCTTGTCAGGGTATTATAGCTTTGTGTTGCCCCAAGAGTTTGTAACGCCGCGAAATATTGGTCCAAGACCCACCTTTTAGTATACGGATCATATCATTTCTCGATATGTTGAGTCCATCTAGACCCCGTCTGTCCATTATAATTTGTAAGCAGGATTCAGGCCACAGTTATGAACCAATCATCACAAAATGTTTTAATGATTAGTGGATGAAATGGACAAAAACTTTATTTTTGTTTGTTTTCTGGTCGCTCTAGAGGCCACAATTATGAGCCGAACATCACGAAATTTTACGCAGAGAAAAAGATCTGCATGACTGTTTTGATAAAAATTGTTAAATATTTAGGGGGTCAAAAGGACCCACACTTTCGCGTGAAATTTTTCAAAATTTGTATTCTATGGCGCATATATTTACTCCTGGAGGACATAGACTCGAGAAGTTGATAGTATATCCAAGAGGAGTGGTTGACCTTTGAATTGATACCAATTATATTGGTTTTGTGTCCTTGGATGTGGGTGTTATGCGTAAATATACCATTTTATCATTACCACACTAGAGCAGATGACTAGGAAATTTTGCATGAGATTCGGGTTATGGTCAAGGATGAAGTCTATAATTTCGATGACGATTAAAAAAAAATTCCCGTTTTTCTAGTCACTATAGACGCCACCATTATAAGCCGAAAATCAGAAAATTTCCATTGGGAAGTTCATCTGATCAACACATTCGACTGGATGCTCAGATAAACCAAATCTTTTTTTGTGTACACTATCAAAATTTTAATATTTTGGAGTAAGTGTTTACTCCAGGAAAACAGGATTAAAAAAATGCCTCAGATTAGCTGTTGGCATCTAATTATAAAAGAGAGTTCAAATATCGCGAAATACTACCCATGCGTAGATAATAGATACGCAGAAACTTAGGCTCAGATGTAGTTGTGTAAAGTACCATAAGATTTTAGGTAGGACCAACAAATACGAGAAGTCGGTATTTTAACATTTTAATGGAGTTTCGTCGATATTAATAATATATATTTATAAAAACAAAAATCAATAACATATTTTGTAATTTTAGGGGGCATCAAATAATAAATAAAATAAAACATTAAAACGAAATAATAGTTCTTAGTTACATATTTCAATTGAGACACGAATTCATTCGAATTTTATGCATTATAGATAGTTCCCTGTTTGCACATCCAGATGGCCCGAGTACATGTAGAGCGATATAATCTTCACATTCGATTATGCCATTGTTATTACAATCTCTGTTATATCGTTTAAGATAAGCATTAACCGTATCCGTGGCACATTTGTCGTTATTTACACACTGTAGATAATCTAAAAAAATGAAATACAAAAACAATTATTTTTTTAATACAAATTATTAGAATAACAAATTTTTTAATTGTAATAAATGCACAAATGTAAGTCATGTACCAATCAATAAGTAATTCGGAACGTAGGTCAGATTATGTCGAAAGACGGAATGTATTGCTCGCAAGGGTCGGATAATATATAATTTGAAATATTATATGGGAGCTAATAATGATGATAGGATAATTTGTTACCCAATCAGTTCAAATTCCTGATATATCGAGTAATATGAGCTAGCCATCTTCCCAAAGAGTGTACCAATAGAGAGATTATTGATAGAGAGATTTGCTAGCCACTTAGAATTCAAAATACCTAATTATATCAAACTTGATTAAAAGACATGGTCAGATATATACCTACCATTTTCAATAGGAAGCATTCTAAATATTGCGAGCCCCTTTTCTAATTGGGTTTTCCGAAAGGGTTCTGGAATAACAAAGTTAGAAACGGTAAATGGCTTTACCTTCTATATGTATATATATATATATATATATACATATGTATGGGAAAGAAGAAATCCATTATTTTTATATGAATTATTTGACTTTATTTAACATGCTTCGGAATTTCGATTTGGGTCAAATAAGCACCGTTTTGTTGTACGATTTGTTGCCATTTTAAAGGCATTTCTCGATCATTTCTCCGATGTTATCGACATTTTCAACGACCGGCCGAGGTGCATCTTTAACATCAAGAATTCCTGAAGGGAATCTACGAAACCGAAATTGCACATAATTTGCGGTTACAGTATCGGAACCATAAACAACATTCATATTTTTAGCCGCTCGGCTCGATTTTCGCCTTTGTCAAAGAAAACCTGTAATATTTAGCGAATTTTTCTTTGTTCACTTCCATTTTTAACAACCTCTAACTCACAGCCGAATGCACCAAAACAAAAAAACAGCAAAATAATTTTTTTCACCCCTCCAACCAGCATAAATCTGAAATTGTTTGATCTTTACAAGAAATATATCAGTACAGGGATCTGGATTTCTGGATGGATTCTTTTTTCGCAACCTAATAGTTGCTGGCTGAGAATACGGTTGCTGCAACATATCATGGGTTTATCTTGAGATATATATTGTTTCATAATCATAAATGTAGAATTATAAGTACTATTGCAGCACACAAAGGTGTAAGATAGGAATTAATCGAAAACATAATACAAACAAGTCATACCTCTATGTTCGTCATCTTCTTCTTCGTTATATTCCGTTTTGCTGTCGTTTGCAATTTGTTTGCCACCATCGATCCAATAAAATTTCGATATACCATAAATTCCACAGGGATCCACAGTTGCACACTTAACTGGTCGACAATCACTAACTGTCTTGCAAAGACATTGCAAACATTTGCTTGATATTTCATTTTCTGTAGTTTGAATATCTTCATTGCTATTTGAATATTCAATACTGTAGTTGTTGGTGTAATCGTTGTCTACCACGTACGAATCTGTCGAGGTCTCTTCATCCAAATTCTCTCCAGAATCTAACTCACTAAAGTGAGTCATTGTGGTATAGGCTTCATCGTTGGCATATTCTTTGCTATTGCCGGAACTGTAATCATCTTCTATATTTTGAATAATTTGCTTTGACTTCGCTAAGACATTGTCATCGGTGCTTCTTGTGTTGCCAATGTCAACAATTGGCCCTTTGGTTATTCCATCTGAAATCGAAGAATATAACCCTTAATAAGGAAATATATTATATAATCGTGTAGATAAATCACATGGCCCGGTATGGAAGAATTCCTACACTTTAAAACATCGATTTACATACCAACACCTGCGGTTGGTTGCACACGACTATCCCCGATATTTAAGCGTCCGAAATGATGTTTTTGCCTTATGTGAAGGTATATCGAACCGACAATCAAACCGAACGATACCAGTATGGCAGCGATGACTATTTTCTGATTTATTTCTTTGGTAAGGACCATATTTTTTGGATAAATATGTGTGATTGATTTATTTTTTGTTTATTTTTGTTTTACTTAATCCAAAGTGTATTCTTTTCAGACTAATACGTTGATTTTAATTTCAATGCTGTAAAACCATGTTGACGTTTATAAAAAAAACAACAACTGGATGCTGATTAAGTATTTGTTGCGACTCATTTGATGATAACCTTTGTTCACATGTATAAAAGAAGTCAGTGTTCTGTTTTAACCAGGGCAGACCAAACAATGGCACGCGGGCTCAAATTTTCGGAGAGTATCATACGCTCTCTCGATGAATATGTTGAGTGTTAAAACATTATTAGCTTTGAAACCCATGAAGACCCCTTTGTTGTTGAAATTAGTGTGTGTATTCTACTCTTCGTGGGCTTACGTTTGGTTATCACTGATTTAAACACAAAAATGCGATAAGGTTGTGGAACATGGTAACCACAACAAGCACTCAGATGTTTTTATACCTTCCAACATAGTATGGAGGGTACATTATTTTTATTTTTTGGTTTGTAACACATCGAAATAATCATTTCAATCTTATAAAGAATACATTAGGTTGGGAAAAATAAATTCATTCTTTTTTAGTTGTATATGGTATAAAACAGTTTTATGGTCGATGTTTTGCTCCTGGGCGATGTTACAACTGCTAACGTGCCGGTCAACTTCGATCATTTCTCCGATTTTATCGACATTTTCGACGATCGGCCTACCTGTGCGAGTTGCATCTTTAACATCAAAAATTCTTGAATGGAACCTACGAAACCAAAATTGCACACATTTGGCTGCTACAGTATCGGAACCATAAACACCATTCACAATTTTAGCCGCTTGGCTTGCATATTTGCCTTTGTCAAAGAAAAACTGTAAAATGTACCGAATTTTCTCATTGTTCGCTTCCATTTTTAACACCCTGTAACTCACAACTGAATGCACCAAACACAAAACAGCAAAATATATTTTTACTGCCAATGAGCATAAATCTCAAATTGTTTGATCGATACTTTACGAGAAATCTATCAGTACAGCCATATGCCGAAAAATAATGGATTTCTCTTTCCCCAACCTAATATATTCTTGATCTATGACGAATTAAGAATGTCCGTCTGTCTGTTGTAATCACTATAGCCTCTAAACGAATTGATATAGATCACCAAAATTTTGCATAGAGTTGTCTTTTTTTGTCTGCAGGCAGGCCCTTGTTTAGGTATAGCTCCCATATAAGTGTACCCCCCATTTTCGGTATTTTGGAGTTCTTGAGCGCGTTTTACAACCGAATTCGCTAAAAATTATAAATTAAGTCCACTTCTTCCGGTACCACCCCCCCCCCCCCCCCCCCCCCCCCCCCTCCTTTTGGGTATTTGTGTTTTTTATTTGATAAATTTTGGTACCAAATCTCTTCACTAAAAATTATAAATGTATGTCCACTTTTTTCATATTAAAAAAATCAGAACCCAAAATAAAAAATTACTGACAAGTTGGTGCCCAAAATAAAGAATACTGGGGTGTTTGTTTGTTTTCAATGAGAACCGTCATATGAGGGCTAACCTTGTCAAGAGGGCTAACCTTGTCAAGATCAGTACGGATATATGAGAACCCAAAATACCGAGATTTGGGGAGTACCGTTATATGGGGGCTACTTTGAACTAATTGTTAGTATAGACATGTGCTATACCATGAAAAATACGTGTCGAAAATACCCAATATTGGGACACCGTTATATGTGGGCTACCCTAAATCGTGGGTCGGTACATGCCATTTGCAATATCAAACTTCCTAGGGACGTTTAGTACATTTTTATCACAATGCCGTCTGATTTTAGATTTTTTTTTGTCCTAAGTGTAAACAGTTCAGCTCGACCCCAGGATAATTATACAACTCGTTTATTGGTATCCTCTTTATGAAATGAACATGCTCGTTAATATTTTGTAACTAATTCCCGTTTTTCTCATGATGGAGGGTAATAAAATTAAAACAAAAATATCAAATAATGAATAGCAAAATGTCCAATTATCTTATGTGCTTGAGGGAATAAAACGACATTTATATAAAATCAAATTACTTTATTTGCTAGTTCATTACATAGTTTAAACTCTTCACTAGGCAAACAAATCCACTCCTGTGTGTTATACAACATTTCGCAATTACAAAAGAAAAAAAACTATTTTCATTTAGCAAAATAAGTGTTAACTGGGCAAATTGTAAAGAATTTACAAAAATTGAATTAAAACAAAAAGCATAATTTCATTACAATTTTCTCCGGGAGAGCAATTATTTATTAATCAAAAACTACTTAATCTATGCCTCTAGATGATAATTTCTACTCTTGCAAGTTTTTAATTAATATTTTAATTTAATTAGCATACTTGTCGGAGAAAATTAAACGTTATAGGCCTCCTACATCTGTCGTTCCTGTCCGTCTAACGACCAATTGTGACTGAATGGATGCGAGCAAACATTCTTGGCATTTGCATAACAATCATCATTCGACTGAATAGGATTTATTTCTCTTCTTTCGTTTTTGTTCCAGTCATTCCTGTTGGCGTGTTCTTCTTTTCATTTCAGCATCGTGTAAAAATGGCATGTATCAGCATAAAAATACCATTTGCTAGGAATGAGTTAATATTTTTAATTAAAAAGCCTCTCTAATTTCTAACAAAAGAAGAAGGGTTAAGGCTTAATGAGATGTTTTAATTCCGTGGAAAATAAACTCAAGGGTATATAACCAAATAATAAGTAATATAAACTGATTTTTTGTCATTTTCACATAAATGGAAATGCATTCAAAAAGGAAGCAGTTCTGCTCGAAATAGCACACGCAAATTATTTATGAACCACTTGTTTAGGATAAACCTGGAACAGAAGAGTCCCTAGTCATATTTGACAATTGAATTAGCTGTAATTTTACGTTCGGTATTTATACCCTTCACCACTCTGTGGTACAGGGTATTATGGCTTTGTGCATATGTTTGTAACAGGCAAAAGTAATCGAGATAGACCCATGGTTCCTTTTGAGAATATGCATAGAATCAATTTCTGATTCGATTTATGAATGTCCGTCCGTCTATTGGTGTTAAATTGTAAACAAAGTACAGGTCGCATTTATGATCCGAATTGGATGAAATTTGGCACAGCTCATTTGTTTGGCACAAGGACGAACCCTATAGAAATTGGGAAAAGTCGGTTCAGATTTAGATATAGCTCCCATATATATTTTCGTCCGATTTAAGGTAAATGGTGCACCAAAGTCCCTATATATTTTTCGCACGAAATTTGACACAGCGTAATGAATAAGGTATAGAATGATGTGTGCAAGGTTGGGTGAAAATCGGTTCAGATTTAGATATAGCTCCCATATATAGCTTCGCCCGATTTTAGGTAAAAAGTCCACTAAAGTCCCTGGAAATCTTTTGGTCTAGAACGATGTCTGCCAAGTTTCGTGAAAATCGGTTCAGATTTAGATATAACTCCCATATATATCTTCTTCCGATTTAAGGTAAATTGTGTCCCTATATATCTTTCGATTTGCACGAAATTTGGCACATCGAACTAAGTTAAGTCTAGAATTATGTGCGTAAAGTTTCGTGAATATCGGTTCAGATTTAGATATAGCTTCGCCCGAATTTTGGCATAGCGTACTGAATTAAGTCTAGAATGATGTGTGCAAAGTTTAGTGACAATCTGTTCAGATTTAGATATAGCTCCCATATATATTTTCATCCGATTTAAGGTAATTGGTGCACCAAAGACCCTATATATCTTTCCATTTGCCCGAAATTTGGCATAGCGTACTGAATTGCGTCTATAATAATTTGTGCTAAGTCTCATGAAAATCGATTCAGATTTAGATATAGCGCCCATATACAGTTTCGCCCGATTTTAGGTAATTGGTGCACCAAAGCCCGAATTTTGGCATAGCATACTGAATTAAGTCTAGAATGATGTGTGCAAAGTTTCGTGAAAATCTGTTCTGATTTAGATATAGCTCCCATATGTATTTTCATCCGATTTTAAGTAATTGGTGCATCAATGTCTGCAAATCATTCTATTTGCATGAAATTTGTCATAGTGTACTGAATTAAGGCTAGAATGACGTATGCTAAGTTTCGTGAAAATCGGTTCATATATATTTTCGTCCGATTTTATGTAATTGGTGCACCAAAGTCCCTATAAATCTTTCGATTTGCACAAATTTTAATATGGGGTACTGAATTAAGGGGACCCCCCCATTCTCGGGGTCAATTTTTTTTTTGATTTAATTCGAAACTACTCTAAATCAAGAATGTCCCTACAAAATTTCAAGTGAAAATCTCAAGAACTCTTGAAAATAGAGCCGATTTATTGTGTCAGCATCAAGTGACGGCTAAAGGACTCCTCCTTGCTTTTGAAAAATATGTCACTTATTTTTGTTTTGAATCAGAAAACATTTATAAACATAAATAAAGGTTTGGTCGTAAGTCACTCGAAATCGTTCGTTTGGAATTTTACAAAAACAGGCTGTTAATATACATGATGCTTAAAAGATTCAAAGTTTGTCCCAAATGTTTAGAATGACCTGAAACATGGGTCAATATTAAAAATTGTTAATATTAGACATCCTAGGAGTACTAGCAATGCCTATGCAAATTTTCAAAGTTCTATCTTAAATATTGCGAACTCTATTAAGAATTCAGCAGATACACAGACACATATAAATATACATACAATTTTATTCTCATCAAGAATGTACTTTATTAGAGTCTCCGTAATTCGCCAGCCAATTCCGTAATTCGGTGTTCAAATTACGAATATTGAACAGTATAACCATATATTGGGATGTCCCATTTGGAATGTCAAAAATTCTAAAAATAGTAATAATACCTGCACAAAATTTTAGAGCTCCACCTTGCGATCTCAGACAGGTGGATATAGCTCTATTGACATAGAATTTTATTCTTAACAATATGCTTTATGGGGTTCCAAGTACCAGTATCTACGGAATGGTCGAACTTA